AAAGATTTTTCAACGCAGTTAAAAATATGTTGTGCTGATGCTTCAGATGATTTATCTTCTTCATTAAAAATCTGATACAACTCCCAGAAGCGACTGGTGATTTTACCTCGCTCAGCATCATAAAATCTAACGACAATGCATAAATTTTGTGTCCTAGAAATGTCAGTTGACTCGTCAATTAAAACACTAAATAATACATTCTTTAACTTTACAGATAAATCTTCGTTTTCAGTTGCTTCCAATTACGTGACTTTGATTATTTTAACCTTAAATCCTGGGCAATTTTTGAATCTGGAAAGCAATCCTTTAAAACAGGTGTCAGGTGATCCATTAATTGTGCTCAGCTAGAAATCCACAAAGTGTTATTTCTGCACGTGTTGCATTGTTATCAAATGATGTTTCCACTTCTTTTGAGTAAATGATTGAATTGATTTTTGATTTAAAGCCGAAGTGATTGATGACAAATGACTTTTAGATTTGCCATGACTTTTAATTACAGTGAGCTCAGCAGTAAACGATGTATTACATAATCTGCATCTAGCTTTAAACTTGTCTGATACATCTGGCATTAACCACGTGTTGAACTTGGTATCATTCATTAATTCTCTCAAACATTTTTGCTTTTTACATGCATAAAGTTTAGCCTGTAGTCTTTTTGTATCTTCATCAGAACTTATGTTACTCATCTTGTTCGAAAACGTAACACTTAAAATAGCAAAAAACCACGTTATACTTCTGTAGATATGGATTTAGGGCTGGAATCTAACCTAAATCAATAAATAAAATACTTTTAAAAATACAAGCAGAAACTACTAACTACACCAATTGATTTGTAAACTAGCTTTAAGTGGAATTCTGTCTTAAGACAATTAAGGCATCGTGCCTTAAGGCAAATTGCTGGAACTTCCCGTACCAAAAATTATTATTTTTTTTATAAACAATTAACATTTTTGAAAAAATTTTACTTTGAAAAAATTAGATTTTTGAGAAACAATAAATTTGACAAAAAATTACTTTTTTAAAAAAAAATTTTTTTTGAAAACAAAATTTTTTTGAAAAGAAAAATGTTTTCTTCATTTTGACATATTTTGGAAATTCTGAACTTTTTTTCAAAGAAATCGTACTGCATAGAGACGAAATGTCAAAGCGCGCATGTGCCGCGCCGCCGTCTAACGCATAAGCATTGGTACGGAACCCGTAGAAATGTAAAAAAAAAATATACTTAATGTTAAAATCTTTATAAAATATCTGATAATTTAATGTGTATATGTCTAATGTTCTTTTTTAACCGCCGAATGGCATTTTTTTTTACTTTTTTCATTAGATCTCCGAAACCGCTAGACCTGCCTTCATTAAAATTTGATCAGTTCTTCATCTTGTCAATACAAGTAAAATGTTTTTTAGTAAAATCGGACGCTCCGTTCTCTTAAAAACTGAGTTACCGTTTTAGGCACTTTTTGCCCCGTATCTTCGGAACGGCTAGACCTGCCTTCGCCAAAAACTAATCAGCACGTCTCCTTATCAATACGAATCGAATGTTTTTGAATTATTCAAATCAGTTGATCCGTGTTCCCGAAATCGTCGACGAAAATTTGTATCCGCATATACATACACACACATATACATCCATTTTTTCTAAGGTATGCCAAAATGTTCAGAAGGTTTTGAAACGTAAAGATATATAAAAATTTTCATTTTCGATTTTTTTGCGATTACTATAACTTGCCCTACGGGAAGTTAATAATTACCTGATTCAGCACAAAAAATGTTTTTTAGCGGATTGTAATTTCAGTTGTAAAGTACTGCAGCGCACAACAAATATAAATATCACAGAGCTCCAAACGATAAATGGCTTTCGAATCCAAACAACAAAAGTGTACATACAACAAAGATCACGTTACTGAGAGTGTAGGTACCATAGATAATGTAAAATAGGTACTTAGATATGCTTAATTATTTATGACTGCAATTTCCATAACTAAAATTCGATGCAGTGTTACCAACATATGCTTTATAAATATAATTAACAACCATTGCTTACAAGAGAGGGCAGCATAATACATAGAAAAAGATTATCGGTAATTTATCTTCATTTTACTGAATTATCGTGGAATGATGAGTTATCGTGAGAGTCGCTTGTTCAATCATCAGTCAGGTTGGCCGAGCGGTCTAAGGCGCCAGATTTAAGCTCTGGTTCCCGAGAGGGAGCGTGGGTTCGAACCCCACACCTGACAAAGCATTTTTGGTATAATAAGTCGAATTTATAAAAATTTTAAATAAATATTTATTGTTTTTATTCAATCCTTTAATTTATTTATCAAAAAAAATAATTATTTTAGCACATTTTGTTTTTTTTTAATTAATTGATTCTAATAACTAGTGGGGCGCATGGCATCGTGCCTTAAGGCAAATTGTTGGAACTTCCCGTACCAAAAATTATTATGTTTTTAAAAACGATTAACATTTTTGAAAAAAAATTATTTCAAAAAAATTAGATTTTTTAGAAACTATTTAATTGACAAAAAATTACTTTTTTTGAAAAAAAAAATGTTTCTTTATTTTGACATATTTTGGAAATTCTGAACTTTTTCTCAAAGCAATCGTACTGCTTTAACTGCATAGAGACGAAATATAAAGCGCGTAAGCGCCACGTCGCCGTCTAACGGATAAACATTGGTACGGAACCCATAGGAATGTAAACAAGATTTATACTTATTGTTAAAATCTCTAGAAAATATCTGATAATTTTATGTGCATATGTCTAATGATCATTTTTGACCGCCAATTTGGCTTTTTTTTTTTACTTTTTTCATTAGATGTCCGAAACCGCTAGACCTGCCTTCATGAAGATTTGACCAATTCTTCACCTTATCAATACAATGTTTTTTGAATTATTAAAATCGGACGCTCCGTTCTCTTAAAAACTGAGTTACCATTTTTGTCACTTTTTGTCCCGTATCTTCGGAACGACTAGACCTGCCTTTGCCAAAAACTAATCAGCACGTCTCCTTATCAATACAAATCAAACGCTTTTTGAATTATTCAAATCGGTTGATCGGTGTTCCCGAAATCGTCGACGTAAATTTGTATCCGCACACACACACACACACTCATAAACACACACATACATCCATTTTTTCTAAGGTGTGTCAAAATATTCAGAAACCTTTATATATAAAAATTTTCATTTTCGATTTTTTTGCGATTACTATAACTTGCCCTACGGGAAGTTAAAAATATATTTTGAACGGAAAGTTTCAGCAAATATAAATAGATATATAAATTGTTAAAATTCTTATTAGAATAATAATTATCATTAATGTCACTACTTATGAAAACAGTCAGAAGCTAGTTGGTATTCGTATTTTGCCTTGAGGCAAGTTACATGAACTTCCCGAAATGTGTAAACAATCGACTTAATCAGTAAAAAATAAATTAATTTATGAGTGATTAAAAATATTCCGAGTGGATTTGTCCCACCCAGATTTGAGTTTTTATAGAGGTTATTTTTTAAAAAAACTGTTAAAACAATTAAATAACGTATTAAGGTCTAGAAAACTAAGCAACAGCACTCATAATCAAAACAAATAACAACGCAATAAAATACTTTTGTTATGGAGTTTCAAACAATGTCGTTTTTCTACCGATAGCAACGTCGTAAGAATCAAGGTCGTATCTGATTATACATTTTTGCCCTCTACTTTCAAATATTGTAAAAAAAATCTTAACTTTACTGGTTTTGGAGATACCGGTGGTGGACCGGCTAACAGTTATGGCAATTAGGGTTTATACAAAAACCGGCATTTCAGAAAACCGGTTTTCGAATTTTAATTTGACTAAAAAAACGGTTTTAGCCGGTTTTCGAATTTTATGTAGAAAATAATTTTTGCTCAAATATTCTGTGATTTATTCGCAAATTTAGTGTTATTTAGAGCAGTATTTGACTAAAATTAATTATTGTTCAATTTTATGGATAGTATGCAAAATTATTTTAATTTTAATTAGTAGAACTAGAAAATAATAGTTTATCTTGATTAAATTACTTTGGAAATAATTATTCGTTATTCATGCATCGTTTTCACATATAGGAATGAAAATATTTTTATGATAGTGAAAGTAAAATTTTCGAATAAATAAAAATATTACATTTTTAAATAAAAAACATTCCTCAAATTAATATTAGATACATATTAATACATACTTGTTAATATCAATTTTAGTTTTAAAAACAATTAAGCTAATCTCGGGTTTTGTCTGTTCCAAGCAATTTTAATTAATTAATTTTAAACATTTTAACTATTTTTTTGTTTATAAAAATATGATTTCAAAAAACTGAGAACATCTATCGAATTGCTACTTAGACGTGTCCTTTGTTTACTCATAAAATTTCCTGAAATAGAAAATACTTTCATACTTACGACCAAATTATGCTTAACAGTTTTTAAAGCTTGATATAATAATTCTAAGTTTTTTGTTCTTTTATTTGTGGCTTCCGAGGTTTAAAACTCTTTTTCTTAAGTTTGAGTAGAGAAAGTTACTTCTTCAAGAATAAGTCATACTGATTTAAATTAATACATACACTTGTATAAAAATCTAAATATATACAAAACCTTCCTGGGAACCATTGCAGACTGATAAGATATCAAATGCTATTGAACCGATATGATTTCAAGAATCAAAACGCATTCATCTATCTTTTATATTTGGCTGTATTTGCCATTCTCCATTTATACAGTGAAAACCGACTTTTTTTACTAAAAAACCGGTTTTTAAAACCGGTTTTTAAAAACCGGCAAACCCTAATGGAAATCCATAATATAAAGTTAATTACGACGAGTTAACAACATCTTATATAATTAATCTAAAACACTATTTCCTTGTTTCAAAACAATTGCAAGAATCCAACTGTTGACTCAATATGCACGTTGCATGCGCTGCAATATATGTTTTTATTTCACTTCGCTGTATCGAATTGTTATTTCTAATCGTATTCGTTGTAGGAGCAATGGCGATCAGAACGCACTTGCAATGGAAACAATGAAACTTTGCAGGAGACCCTGCTGCCGTCCAGTGTCCATCGGCCGTCCGCTACGAAGCAGGAGGCGGTCGGGGCGTTGGCCAACTCGAAGCAAACTGGCGCGACCACAATCGACCGCGAGGACGAGACGGAGGAGATGGGGAGGGTTGTGGACACGAAGGTAACGCTGCAGTTGGTCCAGACCGATGGGAATGTCGTCAAAAATAATGGTGACTCCAGAGGACAGCATAATAACAGCAGCTGGGGTACATGAGCATGTGTTGTAGGTGAGTGAATTATAGAATTTTTGGTGATTTCACATACTAAACTCTAAAACTAAACTTGTTATAGTTCATTCAATTAAGGGAAAAAAATCGGTTTACCCTTGTTACAGTTTTACTTTCAGAATTTTATAAAATCAGATCTATATTTCAAAAACATAATGGTCTACTTACTACAGATTTTCTGATAAAATTGTTCTGAGAAGGCCTTGGTTCTTTCTAACCTTCTATCAAGTCATGTCTTCTCTCAACTATACCATTAGAATATAATAAAGGCTGGTCTATATTTTACAAACTGAGTTGTCTACTTACTACAGATTTTCGCTGCGAAAAGCTTCAGATATTTCAAACTTTCTACCAGGTCATGACTTTTTGGTTCCAATTTGTCACAATTCTACCCTCAGAATATAATAAAGGCTGATCTATATTTTACAAACTTAGTGGTCCACCTACCACTGATAAAATTGTGCTGAGAAAAGCTTTAGATGTTTCTAACTTTCTAGCAGATCATAACATTTTACCAAGTCATGACTTTTCGATTCACCCTTGTTACAGTTTACAATTTAGATTTTGGATAGTCCTTGTCGCAATTCTACTTTCAGACTTAGTGGTCTACCTTCAAACTTAGTGGTCTACCTACTACAAATTTTCTGATAAGATTGTTTTGAGAATTGAGAAGGCTTTGGATCTTTCTAATTTTCTAGCAGGTCATGACTATTTGTTAGCAGGTCATGACTTATTGGCCCTTTTTGCAATTCGATCTCCGGAATATAATAAAAGCTGATCTATAATTTACAAACTTAGTGGCCTAACTACAAAAGATGCTCTGATGCTGACAGAATTTTCTGAGGAAATTGTTTTGAGAGTAGCTTTAGATCTTTCTTTCTCTCCAGCAGGTCATGACTTTTCGGTTCGCAATTGTCACTGTTCTTCCTTCAGAATATAATGAACGCTGATCTACATTTCAAAAACTTAGTGGTCTACCTAAAACAGATTTTCTGATGAAATTGTTCTGAAAAGGGCTTTGGATCTTTCTAACTTTCTGGCAAATCATGACTTTTCGCTTCGCCCTTGTCGCAATTCAACCTTTAGAATGAAATAAAGGCTGATCTACATTTTACAAACTTAGTGGTGTACCTACTAAGGATATTCAGATAAAATTGTCCTGACAAGGCTTTAGATCTTGTACCTAACTTTATCCAAAGTAACTTTCCTATTGTTTGTCGGAAAAAAACCTTTGATCATTTGAATTAGATGACATGGCGAAGAATTTATGCATATATCTGATTAAATTTTACCAATCACCTGGTAAAAAAATGTTTTAATTTTTTTCGCACGTGATTTAGTAATGGCACATTCAGAGACATTGGCAAATAGCTATTCCCTGTGTCTACTTACTAAAAATTTAATTTGAATTGACCCAGCTATTATTTCTTTGCTTCGCACATGTTTAAATACACTTAAGACGGTTTTATTATTTCTCTTTTCTCCAGTATTGATATCAGATTTTTTTTCAAAGTTTATAGTGTAATCCGCACTAGATCCTTCAGTTCCTGTCTAAATGAAAATATGTAATTCACGAATTCGAAATTCTGAATCCGGCGCAGCCATAAACATGTAGGTACATTATAGTATGGGATTAAATGATACAGTATGGAAGCCATTTACCTTCTGGAGTAAATAACTAAGTAACTTCAAAAAATGACCTTTAATAGTGTTAATATTTATTATTCTTGAAATTTATTATAAATAACAAAGTTACGATTTTTCAAAAATTTTGAGACTAATAAAATTTTCTTCAAAAAGTGGAGTTAGTAGATATAAATTATATTTTTTTCTATTTGACATATTTAAAAAATTTCTTTATCGTGAAAATCTATAATCTGTATAACATTTTTAAAATAAAAATCAATAAAGTCAGCGTCAGGTTTATTACTATTTTCCTCAAAAAAAAGCAAAAAATAGTTTGTTATACTAAAAGCCAACAAAAAAATAACAGAAGTTTAGTTCATTTATGTCAATTCCAAATTTTATAGCTTTACGGGCCTCACTAATGTCGATAAAACGTATTTCAGTTTCATAAAATAATGAATAAACTTTAATGAATATGATTTTTAATGTAGAATTTAGGAAAATATAAACAGAAAACAGTCACCTATATCTTTTCCTGCAAGGTTGAAAAAATTAGTTCAGTTTTGAACTTGCCATTCAAATAAAGCATCTCAAGAAAATCTTTCCTAATCGTTACTATGTCTTCATTCCGTGGCTATTGAAATATCTCTTAGGTATTCTGAACGAATTTAATGTGACCAAATCCGACCCGAAATCACCGCAACAAAACAAATAGGCCGACGATTCAATGGCGTGACTGCCGCCTAATGACAGCGCATAATTCTGGTCGTAAGGAAATACGCTCCAGAGGACATGTTTCTGTCAAGTACAACAGATTATACCATTAATTGTATTTCCGAATTAATGATAACGACAATTTATAACGCCAAATGTTACTGGGTTCCCTTTGAAACTATGTAAAGCATGCCCGAAACGAATCCTTAAGTGAAATTATAATTCGTTGCAATTCATCATCTTTTACATTAGGCGTGATCAAAGCGCCCAAAGAAGCGAGATAAATTATAAGGATAACTAGTGGAGCATCGTGCCTTAAGGCAAATTGCTGGAATCTCCCGTACCAAAAACTATTTTTTTTAAAAAGATTAACATGTTTGAAAAAAAATACGCTGATGAAATTAGATTTTTGAGAAACTATAAATTTTTGACAAAAATTTCCCTTTTTTTTTGAAAAAAAAAAGACTTTTTGAAGAAAAATTTATTTTGAAATATTTTGGAAATTCTGAACTTTTTTTCAAAACAATCGTACTGCTTTAACTGCATAGAGACGAAATATCGAAGCGCGTAAGCGCCGCCTCGCCATTTAACGCATATACATTGGTACGGAACCTATAGGAATGTAAACAAAATTTATACTTATTATTAAAATCTCTATAAAATATCTGATAATTTGATGTGCATATGTCTAATGATCATTTTTGACCGCCAAATGGCATTTTTTTTACTAAATCTCCGAAACCGCTAGACTTGCCTTCATGAAAATTTGATCAGTTTTTTATCTTGTTAATACAAGTAAAATGTTTTTTGAATTATTAAAATCGGACGCCCCGTTCGAATTACCGTTTTTGGCACTTTTTGCCCCATATCTTCGGAACGGCTAGACCTGCCTTCGCCAAAAATTAATCAGCACGTCTTCTTATCAATACAAATGTAATATTTTTTTAATTATTCAAATCCCTTCATCCGTGTTCCCGAAATCGTGGGCGAAAATTTGTATCCGCGCACACACACACACACATACATCCATTTTTTTTAAGGTATGCCAAAATGTTCAGAACGTTTTGAAACGTAAAGATATATAAAAATTTTCATTTTCGATTTTTTGCGATTACTATAGCCTGCCCTACGGGAAGTTAAAAATTTATCACCTTTATGAAAAATTTATGATTTTTATGAAAAATTTAAAACACTGTAACCTTTGTATTAAAATGCTTGAGGTTAAACAATAAAACTAGTTTTAGGTTTTAAAATATTAAATAATTTGAACCTGAAAACTTATATTTGCAGTTTTTTTTTTATCTCACATCATTAATAAAGTCAATTTAAAATTGGGTTATTTATAAATATAACACTATGTATATTCAAAGGGCTTTTTTAGAAAGCTCTTACACCAATTTAAAAAAAATGATATTCAGTAAACCTCAATAGCAAATCATATAGACTAGTCGCAATAAAATTGTGAGTAATAAAAAAAACAAATATGAATTTAATAAATGTAGTCCAAAGAATAGCAATGATTGAAATACAAAACATTTTTTTTCAAGCGTACGAATTAATAATTTATCAATATTTGTTATAGATAAAAAATTCAATTCGAATATATAATTGTTCATCCATGTAAACAGATGGACTGATTTATAGGTATCGTACAATAAATATGTAAATTTAAAGCTACATGTATGAATAATAAAGGATTTAATTAATTTTGTCGTGTATATAGACAATAATGAACTACCATGTATTATTTGTTTACTTTAACAATTAGCAATTAGGTTTAGTTAGTTATAGAAAATTAGTTTGATTTGCTATAAGTTTTTTTCACGTGCATAAAAATAAATGGTTTCGAAAGAAAAAAGCTACTTTAATAAATCTAATCGATTTTTTCTAACCACATTTAAAACTTATATAAATAAACTTGTGCCCCATCCAAAGTACAGAAGTAAAATATAATAAAGATACTGGTTTTCCAATAGAGTAGGATCGGAGATTAAAGGTCCGCGGGTAAAATGGTCCACCACTAACATTTCAAAAACACGTAAAGTTAGGATTTTTTGACAAACGATATTTGAAAGTATAAGTGAAAAAATGCTTAATCAGTCTCCGCTTCAAATCAAGAAACATACCTATCAGGAGATAAAGAACCAAGTCTATAACAAAAGTATTTTTTTTCGTTGTTAGTTTTATTGGTTCTGAGCGCTGTTGTTTAGTTTACGAGACCTTAATAGAATTTTTAACTATAGTTATTTAATTGTTTTATGAAATTATTGTTTGTTTTTAAGCTAGATTCAACAGATTTTTTTATATGCCCTCCATTAAAGCTTCTATCTGGTTGGGGCAAAAATGGTCAACTGTACCATGGCAAAGGTGTAAACAATCAGAAAATAGTAAATATAAAAGCAAATTAAGCTAAAGCAAATTAAGTTAAAGCAATTTAAGGATGTGAATTAAATAAATAGTTATTTCAACTCTGCTGATGAATATTTCTGACAAAATACCAAATCAAATCAAAATCAAACTTATATACAATGTTATCTGCCCAAAAAAATATGCCCATAAATTTTGTATCTAGCATTGGTTGAATAAGATAGCTATTGTTTTGTAAAATCCCATTAAATTTAAAATAAAGACATTGGGTCTGTTTGCACCCAGCCTAGGGGGCGTACAATAATCACGTGATTGCTTTTCAAGGATTTTGGGACCACTCCCTCCCCCTTGGTTATACTTGGTAATATTTAAAATTAACCCTTTCCATCAAACATTACGTGTATTTATAGTACCCTAAAAAAATTCGTAACTTTTTGTAATATTTTTGAAAAATTATGTTTTTTTTTT